TAGCTGCATCCCTCATTCTCGGAGGAGCTCCGAGTGGTTTCCAGAATAACAGTCCAAATTGTGTGCATGGACGACTGCCAACCACATTATTCTGTATGACTTAACTGTTAAAGATTTGTACACTGAGCAGCAAACTGCTATATTCATCGTCGAGCTTTCTAACCGGAACAGTTTGTTTCCATACGCATTCATTTTGTGAACCTATCCAGTAGGGCAACGGATTGGCTGGTCAGTTGATTAGATAAATTGCTGGACATAGGTGATCGAATCAGCGGTCCATCACATACAGTCCCACTGGTAACAACCAAAAGGTGTGGGCAAGATAGTGCATTAAAAGATACGAAAATGTGGTGAAACCCTAACTTCTGATTTATTGCATTGGACTCCTGAATTCTAAGTATATGACTGATCTTAGTGCAGTAGGATGTCACATGCATGTACCATGTATGCATTGTCGGACATTGTTTAGTACGGTAAGACCATACAAAACTCACATGAAAATGACAGAAACAAAGTGGTCCAAAGTTTTCGACTTAATAACATCAACAGAAGTGACGGATGCTAACTTCCACTATAATCTGCATCCAGTCCGATGTTATAAAACCGACAAAGATATCCTACTGTGCGGCTCTCTATGTGGAGGTTGCAATTAGCGGAAACTTGACTGGATTAACTAGAAACACTTTGCAGACAAATACGGATAAAAGAAAGAAGGTCTTCGCTGCGAGGTTATGTATTGGGAAACACCAACTTTACAGTTACAGACTATCCGACAGGAAAGCAAAACTCTCCCATGCATCTTGTTTATAAAAAACTGTGTATCCGTCTCCTTCTCGAATGAGTATCCCTGAAAATTTCTAGATACTCATTGACTGTCACTCAAACGTAACCGAATGCTACAACGCGATTCCGAAAATTCCGCAATAAATCTCACTTTTCAATAGATGGAAAGCTGACTTATGAGAAAACCACATACTACTCCCATGCTTCATTAATAGCATCTACCGTTACATGCGTATCAGGTCGAAGGACAGTGTGGCGAGTTCGTTTTCTTTATCTTGTGTATGCCTTCTTCCTTCTGAAATGAAAAAGTGGAGTAGTTTCTGATCACATGTTTTCCAGCTGATAGATGGAAACGGCTTCTATCTGAATGGCTGATGTTTTGTTATTGCCGTTAAAAATAGATACTGTTTTATTTTCACCATACTGAGAGGAAAAGGTGTCAAGTACCAGAGTTTCCTCATGGAATCTGGCATCATTCAACTACAACTGTTGTTGAAGATACAGACCGTTGCCTTTGATTGGTAGCGACCGCTGTAGGCACCGTCGTAGGCCGCGACTATATGTGAGATCCTTCGCATTGACACTGCACTAAGGAATGACAGTATCGCATATTCTAAAAGATGGATTCCCCTTGAAAATCTCACTTCGTCAAGTTTCGTCATAGCTACCAGCTCGTTAGCGGATAACTGCGGTGTTAGTAGGTGACCTTTTCTTTTGCCTACACACTAGGTTGTCAGAGCTCATCACAGAGATCCTTAGTTGGTTTACACCTACCATGCTCCCACTAATATGTAGAATAGGTGAAATCGCATGAAGCCTGGAAGCCTGACTGAAGTTTTATTTCTTGGCAAGCAAGGACGTGCCTGTTCTTCATACGGGTAAACATCGAGTCAAACCTCACAGGTTTTCTGTCGCAAGCTGTTTATCATCAGCATCGTCATATTACGGACCTCCACACAGTTGTTTATGTGAACAAAATGCCAAGGAATCAACTTGTGTTTATCCGGTCATTATTTGTTGGTTTATTTCTGGTGGACTGGAACTCGGTCAAGTATTCTTGTCAAGCAAAATTCCACGCAGCAATCAAATGAGAAGATTCATCTATTAAATCCGTGAGCTGTATATCTAAACTGCCATCTTCCGACATCCGCAAGTCCTCGACACAACTGCAACGCTGTCTGAAAGTACTGATCACCAGATACCATCTGCGCAGAAACCAATGATGTATGCCCTTGACTCGAAGTGTTACTTCTTTTGGACAAACAGAACGCTGGACAATGTTCAATATATGTGCAGTGTTGTGACTGTGGATGGTTAGGCACAGTAACTGACGAACATACGGAGTCTAAGCGGCCTGGTGGTCCAAGACAAACGAACATACGGAGTCTAAGCGGCCTGGTGGTACCAAGACAAACAAAAACAAAAACCCTTCACGTGCACACAAACAGTGACAAACACACCGCCTCTCGTCTACTTGAAAATGAAGACTGAAGATGCAAAGAGCACGCAATTCTATCATAAACTTTAATTAGCAAGAATACGAAGAGCAATCAAACGCATTAATCTCACAAACGGCTCCCATGCTTGCCTATACCCTCTCTGCCTGGCTGCTTGGGGGTTGTCGACTGCTATCAAGCTTTTCAGTGACATAAACAATAAAACTTATAAATATTCATTTCGGCGGAACAACATCGTCGAGAATGAGATCCTAGAATGTGAACAGAAAAGAAGAATGCGGAATAGTTTGGCAAGATGGTGCACTTTACTGTGCACCTGTGTGTGAAAGATGGCGACAAAATTCCAAATAATGGAATGGCTAGGAAAACAAGCAATATTATAGTTGCAATATTGACATTCCTAGTCTTCCTGTCTAGTGCAGGCTGCACAGTGGTGCGAACATGACAAGAAATAGTTAATTTCGTTGTTTTGCCGAACATGTTTTACTTGAAACTGATCTTACTCGTTTTTTTGCGCCTCATTTGGATGTGCGCACTATGTCACTTTTGGTCATACTGTTACAAGCTCCTCGGTGTGATGTTTTATGAGTGTAGCTATGGTATAGATAATCCGCTAACAGTCATACGGGTGAATGCCAAAAATCGATAGTGCAGCCCGAGTGCTTCCTAAAAGGACCCGTTTTCCAGCCATAAATATGCCTGTGGAGAGTCTAATCTTGTAAACAAAGTCAAACTGGAGAAAAGCTCGGATGAGCTAGCTTGTCTCTTGTCATTAAACGGAACCAGTTTTCACGGAAGCATTTATGTTACTTCCAGCATTCTGCTGAAACAGATAGGTACACAACCGCAAAGGATATGACAAGAAAGAAGCTGTCTATCCTGTACTGGAAAAAGTGTTGAAACAGTAAATTTAGTGATTCAGGTGAAGTGTAAATCGAGACTTATCTAGACAATGCCGTTATTCTTGTTTGTGTTTCTTGGAAGAACACACAAAAATGGCATTCCAATGTTTGACGAACTGGACACTGTGACTAATAGACTAACACACTTGAAACAGTCCTCTGACTGATGCTTCTCCACCCACATTCGCACCTGGACGTTTAGATCATCGTAAAACCCTGTGCTTGATTGGTAGTGTTCTATGTAACTTTGAAAAATAACGCAACAGTTCCTAATTATATTGCACATTACTCAGCAGGTGAAGATCCTTTAAACAAAGGGAATATGAAGAGTAAACAGTATCAATTCTGTGTTTTACAACAGGAATATTGATCGGAGTGTTGTGTACACAAACTTTGACCAGGCACAGCACCGACAATGCTCAATGCACACTGTCACCAACGACTACCATCTTGCAGATATTTTTCAAGGAATTATGACAGGGGTGAGGAGCTCTTCCCAAAATATTTCAAACCAACTCACACTATCCCGCTGGAATAGCAGACGAAAAACTGGATTTTTTTAACAAGAGAGATTACATTCGAGGGTTAGTGCACCGCACATTGAAATCTACGTACTCATTAAAGCACAATTATGAATGTTTTATGTGTTCAATGATTCTCCTTACGAAAAGATTATCTGGAGAGAGCCGTGTTCGGCTGTTTAAACTGATGAATCAAGTCCCCGAAACCCAGCAATCGACATATACTCGTTGCCCAAACGTTTCTTGTGTGAGCAGGGAACAAGTCATTATGGCATCCCCACTAGTAGCTCAGTTCCCGCCCGACGTAACCCCGGACGAATTCTCTAGCAGTTCAAAGCTAGAGTACTCTTTTGGACGTAGACTATCCCGGTCTGGGTATGGTTTCTTCGTGGAAATTACCAAATAAACGGATACTGAGGATAGGTTACATGGCTTGTCATTGAAATGACAATGGCTTGTATCGTTGAAATTCTCTCAAAGGATCTCTTCTTTTTGTTGCAATGTGGATTCATTCCCGAGGAGTTCATTGCTTGTATCTGATAGCGTGTATATATACACACTAAAACTAAGCAGTGTTAAAATACATCCGTTCAAGTGATTCAGATGACGATATAGTGACCGCTATGCACGATCCTGTAGGCTGGGTAGTTTCTGCCGGGGGCATGTATTTTGCCAGTGGCTAAGATTGTAAGTCAGACAGACGGTGATATAAAGCGGAGTTTCCTCAACCAAACGCACAAATGACTTACGTTTAATCTGTGAGCATTTGCAAGCATGGAAATCAAGGCATTCCCCTCATAGTCAGGCATGGTATGACGGGAAACGAAAATCCCCTCGAACCGGTTTACACGATCTTATTGACAACTTGCCCTGCATTTCAATCGAATAATGTGACACGAGTAAGGTAAAACAAGCAGCTGTATGCAACAGGTGATGCACAAAAGCAGAACCTATCTCGGAAGTCAATCTCAACTCATTTCTGCATGGAAAGCCATACCTTGGTGCACTTATCAGGCTATCTTGGTCTCTAATCACATGATCTCAGGTATGAAGCAGGGAATTTGTTTCTGCATCTGCACGGATCGCAACACGCCCACCAATGGTAGCTTGGAGACTGGAAAGTATTCGGGACCCTCCAGAGGCCGTAAATATGCCTATAGTATTAACGCAATGACGGTTATCCTCCGTACAGAGTAACTTGTTGTAGATTGCCTTCGGCTCGTCAGTTCGGCTTGTTTAGCTGTATAGCTTTATCTTCGTAAATAGTTCCAGCGTCCCACTATATCCGCTTTCATGGCAACTTACTGTTTGTTTATTCTGCCATTCTATGACTCCAGGTACAATACCTTATAAAATCTCAAACAGAAAATGAAGGGGCACAGGAATTCCGTGTCTCTGCCAAAGGTCACATCTACGTCGCTCGTGGAAACTTGGATCGTGAACGTGTACCCAGTTACAACTTCTACTTGGTCGCTGTGGATTCCGGGGTTCCAGCTTTGTCATCAACCACGCAGGTTCATGTTTATGTGACCGACGTCAATGACAACGCTCCCACATGGGTTTTTCCTGCCCATAATAACCAAGCGGTCAACGTCACCGTTACTGAGCCAGTGGGGTATTGTGTCACGCAGCTGAATGCAATAGATCCGGACGAGGGTGAGAATGGAGAAGTCAGCTACCGTCTGATACAGACCAGTCGTGTTGCGACACTAGAAAACCTAGAACGGGGTGTTCCTCTAACATCCAAGGTGGCATTCATCCCTAATCGTCACTCAAATGCAGATGTAAAGTACGTAGGCCGATTGGGTGCAGATAAGCCGACTGCCGGAAACCTTTTTGAGCTAGATCCTAACAGCGGTTCCATTTATGTCGGTCGTTCTATGGGTACGGATGACATTGGATCAATCAAGTTGGTCGTTGAAGCCAGTGACAAAGGCCAACCAATCAAGGTTAATCACCGGGTTCTTCAAATTAATATAGTGCGTTATATGTCGGACTCAGCTACAGGGCCAGAAGATGCATCATACGGAACGGGCGAAAAAAGTCGCTACCGCATGTATTCACCCTCCGGTAGCATGGGACATATGGAATACGACTTGATTGTGATTGTAATTATGGTCGCCGTCACCCTGATTATATCATTGGCTCTTATCATCGCCATCCTTTTTCTACGATGTGGCATTTGCTCTACCAGGGGAATGGTCCATTATAACGCCGCAATACCAGCAGACTATCGTCATGATTCAGGCCACACCCATCACTTAGAAGAAGTATTTCGTGACTCCGGCAATGTGGAAATCAATGGATTATTGCCATCTGGGATGGAACAATTTTCCCACGGCAATCAGTTTTCTGATACAAGCTTAAATAGCTTTCAGCCAGCAACAGAGACTGAACCGATGTGCCGAAGTTACCTGTCCACACCTGGGGCGGAGCCCTGGGTGGTGACAACCTTGAGTCCAAAGAAAAGCGGAGGGGGACAGCAGTCGGTGGAATTCATCAAATTCAATAGACTCGGTGGATCGATTGCACGAGTACAGTCACCTGCTTTGGAAAAGTTTGCTACCGGAAAACGAGGAAGCGTAGTCAGTCCGACCGTTTGTTCAAAACATTGTAATGAAAGTACTTACCGCTCCCCTTCGGAATCCAGTGAGTTATCTCCATAAGTTGCCCTTGATTTACTCAGGGATTACGTAGAAAGATCACTTCGGCTTGTTCTTAGCGTGATATTATAGAATTCGTACTATCCATATAGTTTATTAAACCAATGATGGAGAATGAATACTGACATGCATGTGGCCCATCAAAACCAAGAAACGTAGCCGACGATAGCAGTCATAAGCAGTTTTTCATGAAAGCGTAATCAATCTTCTGATTCAGAGAAATCCGTTATAACCTGAACCATGGTGATACCAAGTAACAGCCTTCTTCGGATAGAGTATGAAACGTGGTTCCGGGTACCTGACTGGGTGCTGCATAGAACCTACACCTAAGAGTTTCTAGGTTCCGAGATCGGTTGCTAATAATTGGCGCTAGCTGTGCAAAATTACGTGCACTGGTTAAATTACAACCTCAGGTTATGCGGACGTCCTCTAAAAGTTTTTCTCATTTCTGTTTATGTCGAGGGGAAACTTTAGACTGGTGTAAACAGCGCCTTCAGATAAAACTTCCGTTCGTCATGATCGGCCGGCAGGCGTGTTTGCATGGGAAGTGGCTTGAATTTCATGGACTGATACCACAATTTACAACGTGTAAGCCTATAAGAGTTAAGGAACGCGCGAAATGGAGGTCGTGGACAAGGGAATGTCGAAGTTGGACGGACAGTCAGCTCTTTAAAAGTGATTTTAATTGATTGGCAAGTTAAGACTCCCTGCACTTAACGAAAGGCTGCGATAGATTTTCCGTTTTGAATTCGAAATTCAGGAAAAGAGAACAGATGAATTGAGAAATATTAGAAAGGATAGTTGTTTGAATGACAGTCAAACAAAACTACCTGTTCTACGGTCACCCTCAGGATAATTTACATCCTCCGAATGGAGAAGTGAGTGCACGTGGTCCGTTGATTTATCCTTTGATATTCCATAGTAGAGGAAATTTAAATGCACGGCTTGTTTTCATAACCCATCGGTGAATGTGTTTACCCAGAAGTCAAAAAGTCTAAGAGATTATCCAAAAAATCAGAAATATGACAAGTTTCTGTTCTTTTCTGAGAATGTATGGGAAAGGCTACAGAAAGATGCATTAAAACGTTGTTGATGAAATTCCATGCACTTGGGTCCCCAAAGGATTCCGTTTGTCTTTCAGCCGAAATGAACTTTATCTATTCGCGACTGTGGGAACTGCCCAACCTATTCACTTCTACTTTCACTGAAGACATCGTTGGTGACACTGAAAGAAGAACTGCAAACTTTCGTGCAAGCAGCGTCCTTTACTCTTTCAAGTGAAACTTACGATAACCCATAGTACTATCATTCAGCAGATTTCGAGAAGCAGGTCAAAATGATCGCTTTTGTAGGATAAGGTCCTCGTACTGACTCCAACCAAACTGATCCGAATTCACATTATGTAAACGAAGAAAGGTGCTTCTCTAACAAGCTCTCTTGTCGTCTAAATTTTACGTATTTGATTCGTGATTCGTGATTTTCGAAGTTCTTTTTCAAGAGTATCCTATAATCGTCAACATCTATTTTATCACAGGATTTACACCACGAGCTCACTTATATCACTGAAGGAAATTGGTTTTCAAGTTCCAGAGTAAGGTGAGACAGATCACTTTTAAACTCAGCTGGATATGCCAGACATTGCGTGGTGCCCAGAATAACTGAGAACTGGGAACAATCATCCTAAAACGATGAGTTTCCTGTTTATTTCTTGTTTGTGTTACGTCCACTTAGGGCCATATTCAAGGTGATTCAAATCTCCGCCTCGTCTACATCAGTGTCTGCTTTCTGTTTTACCCAATATTGCCACACAAACTACCCAGGCTGGATGCAACTGAAAAGAGAATAAATATTCAGTCGGATGAATGGCATGTTTTTACAGCCAGCGATTTTACATGCACTATAAAAGCCACAACAGGTGACTGCATATCTACATGCAAGAATGTTGTAAAAGGGTCTACAAACGTCGCGGAAACGAAAATGAGTAGGTCATACTGGAGGAACAGAATAATCTGCCTGCTTTTAATTCACAATGTGAGACCCATCTATGACGGTCGACTTTCCCTAACTACCCTGCCTAGAGATTTTTTGAGGATAAAAACGAGAGAAGGCAGGTAATGGATGTGGATGTGGGTAGCTTTGAGCAAATGCCGAAATGGACAAATCAGACAAACAGGAAATGGTGTGTCGTATCGGTTTTAAACCAAGCCGTGCTTTGTGACGCCCTTGCGTTTGAACCCGTGGAACAGTCCAAAGTCCGTGTATCTGAATTTGGCAATCTGGTAGCTGCCTTTCTCCGTAAATTGGTTTGGATTCTCCATGAACTACACCGACTAGTTTTCGTGGAAATTCCTCGCACTCAGTTGCCCATTCAGAATACAATAAGGCAAACCGAACTATAACATAAAAAAATTGACGTTGTTGATTTCTTGGAGTAAGAAATGGCATATGCTTCACTATACTTAGCAGGTATTTTCCATCTGACCAGACAAAGTCTTAAAAATTAGAAGCACCCGATATAATTTTCAATATTCCAATTAACATTTTACTGAGGAGTACGATACCTGAAAGTGTCAGCTTTTGTTTGACATCATATACCGAATTAAACATGTGGAAAGGCTTGATGTAAGCACCACTGGACCGTGTAGATTTATAGACTCTCTCCCGAATGTTTGAGCTTGGTAATGTTTCGTGATGCACTAATCTAGAAGCTAATGTAGCTCTTGCTGTCAATCTAAGTCGCATTGTTCAATACCGTTTTACATATTTCTACTGTCCCTAGCTCAGGTGTTTGTAGTTATAGTACATACAGCTTTATCATCTTTGGTCACCATATATTGTCAATCTGCCTGGTATCGTGCGCCATTTCAGATTCACCAGATCATGATTTGCGGCTGTTTTTGACCAAACGTCCGATGGTTCGAACCAATCCAATTCCTTGCTCAACATTTCGTGCCAGCTGTTCACATCTGACACAGGTGCGTCCAAACACGCCGTGCAAATTCGCAACGGGAAAGGTAAGCGTTACCAAACGTATCACTGCGAAGTTTAAACTGTCTGTATGTTTAACTCATCTGAGTAACTATGAAAAGCTTACACACTGTTTCTGCTGGTGTGTGCAATGGTCACACTGGTATTAACCTGTTCATTGCCATGTGGTCGAACGCAGTATGAAGCCTGCAATGTAAACCTACCCAAAGAGAATTTATGTTTTCTCTTTGTTAGTTGTCATTCCCCGTAAAAACAGTTTTTGTTCAACGTCCTCGTAATTTCACCCAAATAGGCTGGACGATCTTCATAGCCGTTTTGCGATTCGTCTTGACTTTGTACTACCCGGTTGGCGCCAACTTAGGATGTCACTGGCGTCAGTCACTTAACTTGGCACCTTGAATTCTGTCTTTTTAGGCGTCCGTCTGATCCAAACACAATGTAAGCTAACACTTACACCTAGGAAAAATGCAGCAAAAAACAAATGGGTGCATGGAAGGCGGCCATTTTGTGGGCGGATTGTAAGATGGAATGGTCTAAAAGAGTTTCCCATAGAAATTCAGGAGAAGTTTATGGGCATATTTGAGGTTCACATGGAAACAATTAATATTTGATTATTGTCAATGCGTACACATTCACGATGCGCAAAACTGCATTTGTATGGTTGCGAAAAGTATTTATCCATTCTCGAATCACATTTAAAATGGTGCTAACACAATGTTATCCATTGTGGTCTGATGTAGCTGACCAGGAGGTTCATAATTTAAATCCGACCTTCGCATCTTGACTGCTCTTGTCTAGGCTTTGGCAACCTAGCAGTATCTCAGCCCTCGTGCTTCATTTGCTGCATGTTTATGTATATATATATATATATATATATATAGTGCTTCCCTTAGCTGGCAGAAAAGCCCGATGTGTTAAAGCCATCAAAAACAGAAGTATCACTGTGAAATTGCCTGTTGCAACCGGCTTAGATTTGTCGGCCCACCATTATGGAAAAATTGGGTGAAGCTGGTGGCATCTGTGTCTGGCCATCCTGTTTAGGGCCAAAGATACTAGGAAAAAATGATTCGCAAATCATTAAGTATTGGACTGTTCTTACATGTGAACTCCCTCTTGCGTTGAAAGAAACATACCATGTCATGCATGATGTGGCTGAGTCAAGCTAGTCCAAACCATTGTTGAACTTTTCGAGCCACATGCAGGCAACACGGCCTGGCTTATTCCTGGAAATTTGGAATCTTTGTGGGATCGAGTTGTGAGTGCCATTCAGCTTTATGCAGAAGACAATCTGAATTTTTAGTCATCAAATCAAGCAAGCACTTACACCGGGAGAAAGTTGTGGTTATCTTACACCTCAGAACATTCCCGTCTGCACAGAATGATGGGTTTTGAACTAAACTTTACCGCGGGACGCGCGAATATCTGATGGCCACATATTCTATAATGGCGAATTACTCGCCCTCCCTTTTGTACATGGACATCCCACATTTAGCTTAGTTTCTTACCTTTCCTCCGACTTTAGTGCATCGAACTTTGACGACTTTTACCCTATTCTGCCTCTAAAATCGACACGTCACATCTTATCTACCTAAGTTCACTCTCATGTTACTTGCTTGATTTCCCCATACTTCTAATCTCCATTCTTTACCAGGCATGGTGTCAGTTATCGGTTGAATAAGATGTCGCGACATCATACCGACGAGAGCTTTATCGTTTTTCATGTAGTGCCTGTTTCAACTATGATTTCTTGTCCGATATGTTATTCCTCCATAGGTTGATGAGAACTGCTGTGGACATGAGGAGATGCGGAATATAACATTTATTTGTAAGAAGCAAAAAGCCGGTGAACGCAATCCGTCTTGAGAAAAACAGCTGAACCTCCCGCTGAGAATCGTTTAGCATCTGCTTGTAACGCAGCCATAAATTAACAAACGCACTTTGTGTGAAGAGGCACCTCCCAAACTCTCTACAAGAAAGATAATTTCGGCAGTTGCTTCGAAGTATATCGCTAGTAGAATCGATGTTGAAAAGGATTCCCCTTAGTTTGTTAGTCGAAACGGCATTCCAAAGAATCCATTCGAGCATCGGGAAAAACTGCTGTTGTTTCCCTCATAAAGCCGTCCGTCACAATCGAAATTACTACAGTATATAGGTGGAATGGTAAAGCCACGATTAAGGGATCCACTTGAAACAAGCACCAAAAATATAACATTAAGAAATAATCACTCTAGTTCACATAATTTCGCGGCATCCCACTCGACTGTCGATTGTCACCACGTTACATACGACACAGAAAATGAAAACAAAAAAAGGATTCAAGAAACAAGTAACCGGAAATTGAGAATTCATGAAAAGTAGATATCGCTGACGGGACATGATAATAGGAGAAATGTCAACCAAGTTCGGGGCACTTTCCTTGGGCTGAAGGTGCAAGCGGCAGAGTCACCGTAAGGAGAGAGAAGAGTGAATCAGTTTTATGGGAGATATCACCGTTCATATATTCTCGGCTTACCCCGGCAAATTGTAAATCAACAGCAACTGTTTTTGCCAGAATATTCGGGTCTGAGGCGTTGTGTAAATCTCATCCAGCGTAAGCATACCTCACTGGTTTGAACCCAAACAACCCGGAGGGAGTCCTGTATGTTAGTGTAAGACGTCAATAATTTATTAACTTTTCAATGACCAGGTTTCACCCTTGTTAAGACACATCAGATAGGCACAGTCAGAGTTTCCGTCAACTTTATGTTCTGCTTGGTCCCAAACTGAGCAGACTTTGAGGACTTCATCTAGCTGATGAAAAGGGTGAACTCGGTCGTGGGCTATCGAACGGTTTCCAACAGTCTTATGGTTTGTGTGTTACGTTTGGGTGATGTCACATTTGACACTCTGTCCACTGTATGCAGTATATGAAACTTGATCTGTACATGCCAACTTCGAGCAAAACCAAATATAGGTGCCATTTTCAAACCCATCAGTAAATGTGTATGACGTTCCCCATCAAAGCATCGAACGTCAAGAGAGCTGTGTTCAACAGGACCGTTAACATCAGTCTAAAAACCACATTTTGAATTGCATGAAGCGAAATTTCAAGCCGGCACAACAGTTTCGAATGAACGAATGTTTTCTAACATACAATAAGATATTTTATCAAAATTACGGCTACAACAACTCCATTTCAGACTTACGTGCCATACGTTTGTGTCTGAATAATATTGCCACGCAAAAGCCTAGAGATTACTGGTCGGCAGTGGTCACCATCTTAAGCACGTAAGCGTACTTCAGCGGATATGAATTTCCAATAACTGAATCATCCACTATGGCCAAAAACGACCTCACCTCTAGAGAATTCCATAAATGTATTAAGGAGTTTCTTTATCCCCTATGCACACACCTTCGTGAATGTGCAAACCAAATGCAACACCAATATCATCTTATACGAAGGACTAGGTGTCAAAATCTATTTAAATTAAAGTGTTTTGAAATTTTCCATGACTCTGTCGTCTTCTACCTACTAGATCTTGATCAGTTTCCTTGTCTTGCTACTCCCAGAATTTATAATTTATTCGATTCATTCGGAAAGTATCGAGATGCTTTGTCAGTTATATATGTGTAAAGTGTGTCCTAACAATCCATAAAGCACGTGTTGGCAATCAGAATGCTTTCTTCTGGGAAGCGTATTCACCATCTGGTCATCCGTGGAACCGAATTCGACTTGTACATAGTATTGGGTCCTATTCGATATAACGCCAGGTTCGCCAAACTGCTTTCTTCCTGAAGGCAGAAAAAGTGGCCCTAGTTTCGGGTACAACTATTATAAACTGACATTCCATTTAAAACACCCAGAGGAAAATTACTGGGCCATATTTTGAAAACCCATATCGTGCGTTCACTTCCTGAGCGCTTACGTAAAATGTTTTTTAACCGGAAACGAGAAAAACCAACGTACATTCGTTTGAACCCTGTGTGATTTTGGCGGTATGCACTAATTGGGTTTAGCATTTGTAGCTGACAAACTGAAGGACTAATCTGAGCTGTATCGGTGTACTTACTGAGAGGAGATGAAGTTTGGCAATACCAGGTAGTCATCAGCTCCCAAACATCAAAATTGAGTACTTTCATCTATCAGCTAACTACTTGGAAGCTCCAGCATCAAAAGTAGTGTTCCCCTTGGGACTTCTTTTGCTGTGAATTGTGTTTATATCATCGTAATCTGATAAAAGTTCTATCCTGCTTGAGTACTGTTTCAAGTATTTTCATCTAAAGGCTGCCGGGTTGATAAAATGCAAAAGATTTGGCTGAGTTTGTTTAACAGAACCTGATGGCTACGTCTGAAATAAGATAGCTAGAAAACAATGATCTTTTCAAAAATCTTACCCCACATAGTCTTTTGCGAACTATTCAGCGTCTACATACTACGACTATTGGACAGAAGTTTCCGAACAGGAATCCCGGAAACAGATGCGCGTTACACCTTTCGCACTTCTCTGGGCTATTGTTACTCTATTCTAGTTCAAGCGCATTATCTGACCAGGCGAACAGAAAGTTGCTTTCTTGCGGAATTTCGCATTTAAAAGAGAAACCGTGTGCCAGCAATCTTTTGGAATTCGCTCTAAAGAATTGTCTGAACCAAGATGATCAACCTCCTGATATCATCTAGACTGTAAAAGACAGAGCAAAAAGTTCGTTCTCAGTCTACAAGTAGAAGCAACATGTGGATTTCTCGGTGTACTGTAGAAGTGTAAGACAGTGTAGGACACTCGCACACATCCGTCTGCTTCGGTCAGAAATTGTTTGCAAAACTGTTCCACAGGCAAATGAGGATATCTCTCACGTGGATACCATCCGGAGAAACGCGTACATACAGTAAACTTGTGATGGGCATACTGGTCAACATTGTCGTTTTCCAATTATACGACAAATTTCAGGATGGTGTGATTGAAAGACACGCCTGCTGTCTTTTGGCAGTCAACAGGAAGTCATTTAACGTTGCTTGTGTTGGACAGAATGAACAGTTTTCTGAATCGGT